GTGATTTATAGATTCACTTGTTGATAGATGTTTATTTGTTGTTCATAATTTGTATCTTTACCTTTTTCTTCTTCCTCCTCTTCTTAAAGGATACCTTTCAGCATTTCATATAATGCTGGTTTGGTGGTGATGAACTCTTTTAGCTTTTTCTTATCTCTGAAGCTCTTTGTCTGACCTTCAATTCTGAATGATAACTTTGCTGGGTAAAGTAATCTTGGTTGTAGGTTCTTGCTATTCATCACTTTGAATATTTCTTGCCACTCCCTTCTGGCCTACAAAGTTTCTGTTGAGAAATCAGCTGACAATTGTATGGGTAGGAAGTGCCACTTCTGTCAGAGGTGGGAAGTCCAAAGGGTGGGAAGGCTACTGCAGTCCAGAATCACCCCAGCCCTACAGCCACCACACCAACAGCCAGCAGTTGCTGCATTTCCACTGCCCAAAGCAGGAAATTTCTTTTCCTTTTTCTAATCTTCTATCAGTTCCTTCTGTTGATAGAGTCTAACAGGAAGCCAGCTGCAAGGAAGGAAGCCTGGGAAATATTGTTTGCAGAATTCCATCAGTAGTGAGTAGAATAGAGCATGAAGGATGTTGAGCTGAGAGACAACAGGCAAATGACCAACATAGTCCACCACTTTGGCTACTTGGCATCCAAACACACTGCTCTTCCCATATTTAAAATTCTAAACAAGTTTACTAATCTGCCTTACAATATGCAGCTTTCCTTCATACAAAGACTCATGGTCTCCCCAAAATGGGTGATACTAATTCTTCTTTTAGGTCAGTCACAATCTAACTTAATGGAACCATGCAGTGTTTCCCTGGTGAGGCGTTCCCATCTTGGGAGCTAAGGCCTCCGCAGGGAGAGGAAGCAAACATTCTGTAAGTGGGTTATTAAAGGTAAAAGTAAAAGGAGGAACCAGCACTTTTTTCCTAGAAGTGAGTATTCTATCTATGGAAAAAATAGCATCATATTCATGATGGTGTTTAAAAGCACCAGTGGTACATTAGTAACACTTCATCCATTTGGGTAGCACCTCAGTCTCTCAGGGTGTCACCTGTCAGATGGGGCCAGGATGGAATTTTCAGTTGGTTATTCCACCATTTTATCAGGCAAGCTGAGCACTTTTTTCCTAGAAGTGAGTATTCTATCTATGGAAAAAATAGCATCATATTCATGATGGTGTTTAAAAGCACCAGTGGTACATTAGTAACACTTCATCCATTTGGGTAGCACCTCAGTCTCTCAGGGTGTCACCTGTCAGATGGGGCCAGGATGGAATTTTCAGTTGGTTATTCCACCATTTTATCAGGCAAGCTGTCTGGAT